CTAATACACTTTTGAATTTTATATTTGCCACAGTCATAAACAGCATACCATGTTTCGCATTAAGTTTGGGCAATGTGATATGCCGAACAAAATCGAACCTAAAGGTGAGACCTGGGTCACATCGAAGCTCAGATATTTTTTGAAAGGTTGTTGTTTGTTCATAATAGCATATTGGGAGAGCTATGTTACGTTAGATTTAGGTGGTTCAAGAGCTGAACCTGTTACACCAAATTAGGTTGGATACCTATAGTTCTTCATTTGTTTTGGAGGAAGCGACGGGTTTCTAATGAGAATTTTATGATGTTACAAGCAGTCAAGAGTAGTACCGGAAGTTGATCTTTTATTATCTGTGTTAGCGATGGTTCCATATATTTAATGATACGAGAGATTTTATCCTGGGACAATGTTTCAATTCGGTCCAGTACTCGAAATGTCAAGTCTCATGATCATGAATGAAATAATTGTTAGTAAAATTTTACAAAAAAAGAATTTTACTTTCAAAATATTGAAGGCGGGTAATATTTTGATCGCTATTCCCGCGGAAAATATATAGATGGGGTTATCAAGGCACTTATTGTATAGCATGGAAATTCGGGGGAACAGCAAATTCTCATTTAATTAACCAGTTTCATTCACTAAATATATTTGAGATTACTCGTTTAAGGTTGTATAGTTAAACTTACAGGATTATTTCTTTAAATTCTTCAAAACACGTTATTAACCGTGTTCTTCTTATCGATAGAGACCGGGTTTTTTATGTATATTTTTCCACGACCCAATTTTTAGGAGCATATTGGTATCAGTAAATTACATTAACCATAGTTCTAACATTTTTATAACCGAAAATCTGGCGAAATCATCTCACAACATATGCTTTAAACATTAGGCCATCATGTATTTCTAGTTCCAGTCTAGTAAATGGCTGTTTGCATCCATGAATCTTGATACACTTACTATAAACAAGTCATTAACGTGAAAAATAAAGATGTTTTATTACTATTTTAGATTCTAAATTTAAACAAATAAATCAAACGAAACAAAACATTTTTAATTAGGAATGGTATCGCGTATCTATCTTACTCAATAAAAACATAATAACAATTCATTAAAAACTGTCTTAGTTCTTAAAGTAGCACACACTTACTTTAAAGTATGCGTAGATGTATTTACGGATCTCATACAATCGATTCACGCAAAAATACATCCCACTACAAATATTTTCTCTGTGTAAACATGTCAGTCAAATACATCTGAGGCCCAAAGTCTGAAAACTGACTGTAAATGGTGCTTTCTAGTGAATAATGTCCTCTTGTTTCTAGCTGATGCACAAATATAGCGCATGGCAATATTACCAATTTATCCAAAGAAAATTAAATTAAAGACTAAAATGGCCCCACAAACTTACCCACCTACCCAAAGTAATCTAGGATATTAAATTATTTAGGGTCCCGAACATACAGTACTCGCAGGTTCCTTCTCAGAACATCCCTGGCGGAGAGATTATGTATAATCTGCCTAGTGCAAGAAACCACCACTAGTTATAATTAAAAACAGGTCACAATTCTAAGGAATACAATTACTGCTTATTACTGAGCAACGTTTCGACTAGGCTTCTCTATTCATTGTCAAGCAATGATAAATATGAAAATATAACAAGACAATATATAATCTAATTTTGTAATGTTTTCAATAATCATTTTTTAAAAAATCATAATTTATAATTGGCTATTATTTTGCTTTTCAGGGCTGCTGTTATTGAAATACAATGCACTTAATAGTTCAAATCCTGCTTTTCTAAATCACTATAGCATCCAGTGTAAATACTACTCACTAATTTAAATAGTCGGCCTTCAGGGGGCCATTGATGATTTATGCAGTCTCTGTTCTGTTGTTGTTTTTGTTTTTTATTACAGATATAACGTCCAATACAATGAATATGATATTATGGAAGTGTCTGGTCTAAGGGCTTTTCGTATTTAAGTGGAAGCACTTACACCAAAATGCACATATCAACATTTTGGGTTTATAATATCAATCAAATTTCATCTTTTTAATTTTTAGGGTGTTGTGATTGTTAAAATCTAATCAAATAATTGTAAATACTCCACAACAAGCAATCCATTAATGATTTGTGTTAATTCCAGGTAAAGTGGTCGCTGTAATCATTAATCAAATTCATTTTTCTTTCAGGGTGTGATTTGATCAAATCATTGTATATACTCCCGAACAAGTTATCCATTAAGCAATTTGTGTTAATTTCAGGTAATGCAGTATTGAATGTTGTTACTAGCATTAAACTTTTATAACCCCTAAGTTAGGTCTTCTTTAATTAATTAAAATGGTATCCATGGTTGGTCAGCGTTAACTAAGTATTTTTGTTTACATGTATATATTGCCTTGTTATAGTTTCATATTTTATCACTGCTTGATAATGTCTAGAGAAACCTAGTCGAAACGTCGCTCAGTAATAAGCAGTAATTGTATTCCATGACAAGTGAGCTGTTTATTCCAGTTCAATTACTAAACGCCATTGAAACAATTTATCTATAGTTAAGTGGAGCGATATATGAAGTAATGGCGACTATTTAACCTTCCTCGGTATCCCGAGTGGCATTGTCCTGTACCGTTCTACTCGTATAGAACGGAACGATACCACCGGGGACACCATTTGAGACGCGCCACAAATTGTTTTATTATAAATACTAACAAACTTGTTGGCTATAATGAATTGTTAAACAAATAAGTGTATCAGATGTCCAGCCCCGTAGTCAGCCGTAGCAATAAAACGCTTGTAGAGGTGTAGCTCATCCCAAACACCATTTACCGGCTACAATTACACCTATCCTGGTGATCATTACTCATAAATATCGATTACACCTTTGCAACCCACTAAACGCTGTAAAATTAACACTGTTCTAAGATTTATTGCAGTATAACACTGGTAGTGGTGTAGCGACACCATCATGGTGTATATCTCTTCCAAAGATCGATCTAGATCTTACAAAAAACAAAAAGAAAGTTACTAGTTCCACGGTGTTTCGGTATCTCTTTGTACGTTTAAGGTCTAAATATGGTGATTATGCTCCAATTTATACAGATGGTTCCAAAGATGGGGATCGGGTAGCTTCGGCTACTGTCACACCATCTGAGACCATTTCTGTTAAGACTTCCTCCTGCTGCTTCCATATTTACTGCTGAACTCAAGGCCATCTTTCAGGCTTTGGAGTTCATTAAATCCTCTTAATCTTTACAACACGTTATATTTACTGATTCTTTGTCCTCTTTACAAGCAATAAACAATAAACAGCTAGTACACGCGTTAGTAGCAGACATTTATCGTCTGTTACTATCACACGAGTTTAACGGTAAGGACATTGTCCTTTGCTGGCCCCACAGTCATGTTGATATTAAAGAGAATGATCAAGCAGACTTAGCTGCTTTAGATCTTCCCATATCACGATTGCTTTTACCTTTCACCGATTTTAAATTGTCCATTAACTTTTTTTATATATGAACGCTGGCAACGGTCTTGGGATCTTGCAGGCACAAACAAACTTCGTCACATTAAACCTCACTTAGGAGACTAGCCAAGCTCCTATAGAACCAACAGGAGAGATGAAGTTGTTTTGTGTATTGGTCATTCGTTTTTAACTCATATTTTCATCTTAAAGCGAGAGCCTCAACCAGAATGTGTTCACGGCCATATTCCTTTGACAGTTAAGCACAGTTTGATTGGGTGCAATCATCTCAAGTCCATAAGATTAAAATATTACCGTTGCCAGGTAGTACGTCAGTTATATTCCCAACCCGAGATATATAGTAAAGTTCTGACATTTTTAAAAAATACAAATTTTTATTCAAAATTTAAATTGTATATAGTCTATCATATATTATGTTTTAAATATTTATATATGTGAAGGATGTGATATATTTGTTTTTAATTATACTTTCTGTGACATTTGTTTTTAATTATACTTTCTGTGATGATGTTTTAATTTATCTCGTTAAATTCACCATGTTTCGCGCAATATATCTCTGTTGGAGCTGACGTGCCATAAAACTCTATTTCATTCATTTATTATCCAAAACACCCCACAATTACACCTATTCCGGTGTTCAGTAGTCTTGAATATCGGTTGCACTTGTTAGGAGTAGCTCTTTTAGTTGGTTACCCTTGCAGGAGTATTACATTTTACAAACGCTAGTTGTGGTGTAAAGTTTACACTTAATTAACACTGCTTATTGTTTTTAATAACAGCCATTTTAACAGTGTAAAAGGAAACCTCGATTTAAAACATTTTGTTACAAGAAATAGAGAGAACGGTTGTCGACTGTTAAAGGAGCTAAATCGCTAATATTTTGGACCTAGAAATTGGCACAAATGAGTAGCAACACATATAATAATGTAATATGAATTTATATAAACTGTTTTACATTCAATCGTGTTCGTTTTGCTGTGAATTGTCATCAGTTATGTTCGGCGAAATACGCCAGAAGTCTCAACCGCAGGTCAGTTTCTAGCGTCTGGTTATTCCAGTCAACACCGATATTATTTATTGCGCATGCACTCCAAATAAGAATATGATATCACCGTTTGACATGACTTGTGGAATATGTCTAGCCTCATTCTTTGAGCACCTTGTTATAAATGGCGCTGAAACGCATTATGGTCTTGTTATAAATGGCGCTGAAACGCATTATGGTACACGATTCGTGTACCAATGGTAAAATGTTTATTTTGTCTTAAATTGCAAAAAAAATCGTGTTTTCAATGTCGAAGATTTTGGATGATATTGAGTTACGGACGGACTTAGCTACTTTAAATGTTCACAACATAAATCAACTATGGAAAAGGGATGTGTATTGTTTTAACAGCAAAAAAAGTTTATATACGGGTTATTTTCAATTTGGTTTTCTTCATGTATTCATTTGTGTAACTGAAAAGAAACCTGGTGTTCTAGGAGCTACCTGGTATGTCAAATTAACTTTATCTATCAACTGTGAAAGCAAATCAAGCATTTGTAAACAAACAGATTCATGTCGATAAACAGATAGTAAGTGCTATAAACGTATACTAGCATTCCAAATGGAAGCGATAAGCAGGTGTGAGGCTTAATCCTTCGTTTACAACCACTTAAATTTATTTTCATTATCAACCACAACATCAATATAAGAAAGCCTTCTGGAAAAATAAAAGCGTTTTAAATAGTAAGAATAACACAACCGACACACTTGAAATATGTCACGTGGAATAGCAGTCGACTTATCGTGAATTTGATCAATATGGTCCAGAGGAATTGTCGTCTATTAACTAACGTCTGCACTCAAACTATTGTTTCGGATCGTAAAGGAACTTCACTGAACATTTTTTCTTTCGAAAATGGTTATTTGGACGTAATATGTATACTGGAAGACGCGTGTGAAATTCATTCCCAGTTATGGAAAAGGTATTGGCTATAATGACCGTGATAATGTTATATAATTTTTACATCTGTTAAATATGAATTTAAATATGTTGATAGCTCCTTCATACTCTGCATTCCACGTTCGGCCCCGAACTATAGTGTTAATAATATTGACAATGTTGCTGTACATAGTTAAAACAACAATGTCGGATTTCACTTATCAACCAAGAAGAGCGCCACCCAATCTACAGAAGTTTGAAAGAACGGTCAAAAATATTCTAAAGTGCCGAAATGTGCCTGCTGCATCAATCGCACTTGTGAGGGATAATATTGTCCTCCTGTCGAAGAATTACGGCTACGCTGATCCCGAAAGACAGATTCCCTCTAACAGGAATACAAAATTCTGTATAGGTTCCTTAACTAAGGCATTTACAGCTGTTATTCTTTCTAAAATTCTCAGTGAACATCCAAAGTAAGTGAATAATTTATCAGTTTTCAGTATTGTTATATTTTACTTGATTTTAAAAGTAAAGGATTTTTATACTAATGACAAATTAATTCATAATCATTTTCAAAGCTCCAGCTGTTACAGAAATATGCATATTTCAATTTTAAAAATATGCATATATCTGCAGGAAATCATTATCATACTGATGTATCCATATAATTTTGGATTTATACATTCCGCTTCACATTTTGATTTATACTTTCTGAAACGATTTAACATAGTTTAAAAACATATCAGCTTAAGCCTGTATCTGACAGACTTATTTACGTATGGCTGACCTTTTGGTATGTGCAGTCGTTCTGTTCTTAATGGTCAGTTGGCGCATTTGCAGAAACAATTATATAGTGGATGTCAGCATACACATGTTTAGGTTGTATATGTGAAATAAAAAAATGTGTGTTCTAGTTCCTGCGAATATTACACAATATGTAGTTGTTACAGGCCATTAACTTCCAAGTCAGAAATTTATATAAGGTTTTCTTGGACAAACTGGAAATGTTAGGATTCTTAGATAAATTAAACATTATATAAACATACAAAGAGAAGCCTCTGTAATATCACTTAAGGGAATGCAGAACTATTCAAAGCACTGTCACTTCTATAGAATGGCTTCTAGGAAAATCAAACACAGCGAAACAGCGATCTGGTAACAATAAATTGTATATAAATGTCACCAAACTTCGAACTCGGTGAACATTATCTTTGGTAATCACTGCAAACGTAGTAGTTATGTGTTATATTATTACAAAGATTTGATCTTAAATAAACAATTGGGTAATATAAGGTGCGTTCACACTGGGGGTTTAATGTGAATTGAATTCAGAATAAAGTCTTATTCCGGAGTTAGGTGTCATAACGAACTGAATGTGAAATAACGAGTCCGGTTATTTTTCCAAATTCAATCTGGAACATTCAGATCAACTGGTTTATCGGACACCGAATAACTTTGCACGCATGTTCACTTCTACTTCTCCCCATGATAAATTTCGTGCCAATAATTTCGAAGACGATATCTCACCTAAAACCTACCGGGATTATACTGTCCGGGTCAATATTCTGTAAATAAATAAATAATAATACAAACACACATCAGTTGGGGTATAGCCTGAATAGCCGTAGCCCCTCCTCACTGAAACATATACTGCGGTAACATAGCCAGTTAAAAATACAAAGATATATGGTGTGTTCAAATCACGGTTGATCATTTAAGGCCTAGACCTAAGGGGCAGGGCAGGCTAGTTCCGTTCCAGGAGTCTTTGTGTCTAGTAGAGTCTAGTCTCTAGCATGTATTGTATGTAGCTGGATGAAAATGACAACAACATGTATTGCTTTGCATTATGCATGTTTAGTGCTGAAAGGTTTTTAATTATGAAATATATCTTCGCCAGTACAGAGTCGAGAGTAAAGTACATGTACATACTTGTTTATGCCTAGCAAATGCGACCAGAAGAGTAATCACCGCTTTCACCTTTGATTCTGGTGCCAACGATGAAATCGTAACCGACACTTAATGGCAGAATGCAGGATCCTGCGTCGCTCAATGGCAAGACGAAAGATTCGGCGTCACTGATGTAGCCTCGGGAAATTTAACATTAGCAACAGAAATAATGACAAATAAGCAGCAGGATCACCATGATCACATAGGAGTCGGCCGTATAGTGCCGCTGTCAGGGCAAAATTTCCCTCATAGCACACTATATGGAATGCCCGTTTTCATTAGCCCAGTTCGGAGCAGTAGGACGTTAAACCTCATTTTATTTCATTTCAGTATAGGCCTACCGTATGTTTGAATGTTTTGACAAGATTTATTTAGCCTAAATTACAATGTTTTGAGAAGGATTTGAAGCAAAATTATGACAAATTAATTAGTTTGTATATGTGTTTAGTCCTATTATAATACCATAAATCACCCAGTTTGTACACAGGAATGTATCTTTAAATAGGCATAGGTACATGTACTATTGGATTGCTATGATAATATTAAACAAAGTCTCGGATACCGTACGTCCAATTAAATGGCATGGGTGCTAAATATTTAAGAAAAGATTTTTATTGACTCATCTTAAACAGGTAAACACAATATCAATATGCATTGCACATCGTCATAACATCACAACAATATTCATAAAATTTAGGTTACCGGTACAATAATTTACATACCTGTAATTAATTAAGAAATAGATAGATATGGTATATCAAGGTTGTGGACCCTCTAGAGACCACAGTTTTTATCCAATTTGGATGAAACTTTAAATATATGTTTTTATCATTAAGATCTTGGTTCCTTTTGATAATTATTAACATTAGTGCTACTTTGCTCTTATTTTTTGAAAAAATTTTCACAAGTTGATTTCCTTTATTTTGTTAATGTAGAATGGTAACGAACTGCTCTTTTCATTTTCTTTGTTTTATTTGTTTCGTTTGAATTTGATTTATCTGTTTAGTTTTTGATTGTTTAATTTTTGTTAGTGAAGTTGATTCTTTTAAACTTCGTTTTTATTTTTGAACTCTACTTGGTGTAGGTGTTCATCAGGTAATACCTCGACTGAGTTCAATATTGAGATTAGCCGGTTGATTTGTTGGATATAAACCTTTGAATAATAGCGCCTAACAGGCAGCTGTGTTTAATTATGTTCTCCTGATTTTGATTGTTTCTGTGTGTTTGAAGTATATGTTTGTGATATGCGCTTAGAAACACTTCACGTGTAATGAAGCGCTATATAAATCGAACAATAATAATAATAATAATCACGAATAGGAACGACGGGCGCATCCATCTTGGATATGAATGACCTTCACCTCTGCGAGGAGGCTATCTGTAGTTATTAGCATTCATTGCATGCGGCTCGGTTCAATTTGAATTCCACCCGAATAAGCCGTAATGTAAACGCACCACTTTTAATCCGAGACAAACCAATCCGAATAGAACATTCGTATCCGAATTGATATCTTTCGCGTCTTTACTGGGTATAGGTCGAAAGAAAATGTCTTTAAGAGACTTGTGAATAACAGCCATTCAGTGTGCTATGACGGAAGTGTTGCGAATTCAAACGTCGAGGGCTATTTTACACCCACCCGAATGACTGGTTCCCCCCACGCTGGAAAGTTCCGGGGCACTTTAGACCAAAAGCATGACCCCCTCCAGGTTACTCACAAAACCACAGTATTTCCCCCTGTGTGAAATAGATATGTATGGAAATTCAAAACAGGGACAGGCCTTCAGTTCATATAATTCATACACTATATTTCACTTATCAACTAAACAATTAGCAAAGTTTCATCATTTATTGATTTTGATAAAAGAAAAATGCAGCCTTTTGCAGTACAACCAAGGTTGAAATCTATTAAGTGGTTGAAGAAAAAGTCGACCAGTTCCAGATTTGCTTCTTTGTTGGAGTTTGTATCATAATAAATGTGAAACAATCGAGATTGCGAAGCGGAACCCAAGCGCATATTTCATGCATTGAGCTATATATGTACATATGTATTTGAAAAATTTCACTATATTGTGGAAAGGGTTGGACCACCTTTTGGGTTATGGACTGACACCTCTTGTGTGGCTACTTAATTGAATGACATCATGGCATAAGATAAAAATGTCGTTTAACCTTATAATATCTCTAAATTTATATTACGGTCGATTAAGAATTTGAAAAAGCCAATTAATCACACCTTCCTTACTTACAAAAGTAATCGTGCCGTCCAGTATCTATCTGTTCATGAAGCAAAGGCGATGAAATGTTTATCATCTGATCTAAATCTATACCAGTTGGTGTATAAAAACCATAAACACATACTGAAAATAGATTGAAGTGATATAAAGCTTTCATCTATTTTAGCTGATTCTAGTCGGTACGTGTTTTCTATTTTGTCTGGTTACAAGATTTGTCACAGTTTTATCTAACGATAATAATACACACCCACACCTGAAGCAGTCCAAGGTTTAAAACCCGATAACCTTCATTTTATTTTCATTCAATTCTGATAAAAATGATGACCGTACGGGGATGTTGGGTCAAGTTATACACTGTTACAGCATTGGGTGAGGTTAGAACAAAAAGTTGTTGCAAGTGCTAGAGTTTGTATTAGTAAAAGAGTTAACCTAGGCCCCCCAATCTGATGTTGGGGTTAGAAAAAAGATTACACGTTGGGGAATAACTTCGTTTTTTAAAATTGAAACTCATAGCCATTTGAAATAATTACTTTGTTACATCTACATTATTAGTGGATAATTATATGATTCCGGTGAGAAAAGCACTTTGTATACGCCCTCATTGTCATGTAGACGTATTATGCCGTCGCCCCTGTCCATTCGTTCACATTTTATGCGTGGACACTCTACAGGTCACAATTGTTATGCCTAAGATGTCGGATCATATCGATATTGGCATGTATAGGACTGTAACTTCGTGGATGTCGTCCCTGATTGTACGAAAAATCACGTTATGTGTGTGGACACAAATTTTTGTCCGATTTTGACGAAACTTTAAATATAGGTTTATATCCGAATGATATCGGATACGTTCGATATTGGCATGTATCGGAACGAACTTCATGGATATCGCGTCCCTGATCGTACGAAAAATCACGTTTTTAGAGTGTGGACACTCTAGAGGTCACAATTTTTATTTGATTTTAAAAACTGTTCAAATATATCACCGGTTACACCATAATTACAGTTGAATTAAACAATGTTTATTTTGATCATTGTTCATTTTCTATGCAATAGCCTTGACCAATAAGGACACTATTTAATTACCGAGCCTTTGTCAGCATGTGTATGACAGACTAAATAAATAATGGTAAATCTTGATTAGTTTTTAACTTTTTTCGGAATTTTTTTTTTTTTTTCAAATTTGATGTGAAGCATTAGAAAAATACGAGGATAAGCCTTATTGATTTTCCCTGTTCTGGCAAAATATGGGCGTATCTTGCATGACAGCCGTTTGTTTAATTCTTTATCT